GGAATTCCAGCTTGCACAATTCGCGCTTTTGGTGACAAAATTGCTCTGAATGAAAAATATGTACTGCATTTGATGCTCTGCATGAGCTTTGTGCTAAATGTTAGCCGTGCTATTTGTGACAAAAAATAAACCAAAGAAACGATGAAAATTCGAGCAATATTTTTTCTGCGACAATCTAATGACAATATCAATTTGCGGTGATTTTGATCTAATGTGGTGCTGAGATGCTGTATACGCTTTGATTCAACTGGTTTGGCGGCTGGAAGGCGGGCTTCGTGACCTAATTGAGGCTAGATTGTGATCAGAGATCACGCGCGCTGCAGAGACGCAGACTGCGTTGCGGAGGCGAGCGGCCTCAATTAGATCACAAAGCCCCGCCTTCTAGCCGTCAATCCAGTTGAATCAATGGTTACAAGGGAACTCGTAGCTTGTTCCATAAAATGTCTAAGTTCTGTGCTCCCACGACAATTACCGCTTGACTTCCTTATGTGACATGCACAACAATTGGAAAATTACGTTAATTGTCGGAACAAGCTAACTCAACTCAAACTGTTTCTATAGCCGAGACTGGAAAGTATCCACTTTTCAAATAAAAATCAAATTATATACAAGAATAAATGCTGTAGGGCTTTTATGCATTTAAAAAGTGCAGACTGAACCACTTTTTGTCCCGCATATGGTTGCTATTTTCTTAAGCATCAATGGCTTTGTGCGCACTTTTTTCCAATGGTATAACCTTTTCTGAAAACATTGCAAACACGACTGCTGTACTCTGTGCAGCTGTTTGCTCAAGTCATTAGTCTTCGAGTGAAGAGCGTGAACATATGGGCTTCTCTAACAAAAAAGTGAATGGAATACATAGACGCTTCGAGAAAAGCAAAGAAAATAGGCTAGGAGGGAAGCTTAGGCATTAGAACATGCAGACAAAGTTGTTTATTTGACGGTATAAATCTTGAGCTTACAACGAAATTTCTGAAGCCATGTTCTTATCTAGCCTTGTTCTTTTTCTTTTTTTTATATTTAGCAGGACCCAGTTTTACTACGGAACACAATTTCCGGTCATCTGTTCCAAAAATTTACTATATTCTTTTCGTTCCTCACTCTTTACCGTGGAAGAGGTAAAATAAGTACGTTTTCTCAAAACTCGGTTAGAAAAGAACATCTGTAAGTCTCGCAGCGTGCGTATTTTAGATTATAAGAAGTGATTTCTTTCATTCAAAAGTTAGGTAACCTCTGATTCAGCTGGCTTGGCGGCTGGAGGGCGGGGCTTTGTGACCTAATTCAGGCCGCTCGCGTCCGCGAACGCAGTCTGCGTCTCTCTCGCACATGCTCTCTGATCATTATCCAGCCTTAATTAGGTCATGGAGCCCCCTTCCAGCCGTCAAGCCAGTTGAATCAAAGGGTAGATTCCATTTTTTGGGGTACAGTTGTCCTTAGTTCTACAGCTGTCGTAGTCCACATGGTATTCTTTCCGAGCGGACCAATAGCGTCCTCGATTACGGTAATACTTGGTCCGAGCTGGAAATCGTAAATTTTTTGGCCACAATAAATCCATAGGCTGACACTCGAGCAATGGCTCAGACAATACTCCTTTTTCAACTTTTATATGAAAAAACCCAGGGACCCAGATACCCTGAATCCTATCTTCATGTATATTTTTGTACTTGAACAATTCAAATTTATGGTTGTCTTGTTAGAATTAAGTTCGAGCACCTTATTGCTTTGTCGAACTTGAATTTTGATTGGACACTAATTTTCAAAATTTTGAATTTATTGCAGTCTATAACAATTATCCTAAGAGTTGAGTCATTTCCGGATTCCAAAGTGGATTGACCATCGCAATTACTTTTCCCATTGCGATATATTGCAAAGTCCTTGACAGCTGCATCCCATTACACAGGCTACTGAATAATGAATCTTTCGCTGTGAACATCGTCTGAATAACAAGTTTCTTTCAGAATGGAACTTTTATCATTCTCAGGGTTGCTCATGTGCTTCCACCCACCGCTTCCCACGAAATTTTCAGGGAAAGCTGCTTGTGCTTTTTCAAATGTTATTTCGGGGTCTCAAACATTCTGTGGAGAAAGCTATTAGTCCTAGTCCTCTCTAAATGGTACAGGGAAAGTCTTCAAACAATCACGAGGAAAATACGTAGAAACTAGAAAAAAAATTGATGGTTCAAGGTTGCCATGGCAAGCGTCAATTATGTCTTCTCGTTTGCGCTTCAATGGTTGCAGCTTAAGGAGTTGCCCGATAATTTTCCACTGATTTTCGTAATTTCCATTTATGGGATTTCGGATCGCCTGCATTAGTACATATTGCAGCCCATTTGCCTCTGTTTTTTTGCTCTGATTGTGGCTTTTTTTTTCGTCCTTATGTTTCGCTACAATTTCACATAAATGTCAGCGTAGTGAGAAAGTTGATGAACTTTATGACCACTGTTTCCATTCTGAAACTTGTTAGGAAATTGAGAAGGGGCCTGAATAGTTGGCAGAGTATTGCACACTTGTGGGCGTGTGCATTGCTCCACAAATTTTGAATTTCTTCCCAAATTTTAGTGTTTTTCCTATTTTGTCTGCATGTAATGGAAGTCAAGAGCAATATGGTGTTTCTGACATCAAAAGAAGTTTGATTTTTTTATAGGATGAGGACAAGGCATCTGGCGTTTTCTATGCCATTTCGAAAAGTCTGGTCGTTTTTTTTTCTCGGGAAGGAGCGGAATGAATTTCCTTTTTCACCATTCCAAGAAGCATCCTGAACCCAATATGGATGGCACACCCTCGCTTTTTTTTGAAAGTGTATGCGAGCTTGTCAATCTATATCGAAATCATGAATTAAAAGAATCACCTTCATTCTCTTTCTGTCCCCGACTCTAGAAACATCAAAGCTTACATAAAATTGATTTCTGCAAGTGTTTGCAACGAAAAAAGTGATTATCCTCTTGCCATCTTTCTCTTATATCACCAACTTCCTTCTATTCCTTTTTGCGTACCCATGGGAAGCAAATTTGCAGAGTCTGCAACATTTATTTGAACGGAACTGAGGAAAAGGAAAAAGAGCGCCTGCAGTATCTAGCAGGATTAGATAATTTACTCTTTTTGCAAAGGTTTGTTCAATTGTAGATGAAAACAAGCCTACGCAAATAAGTTACCAGCAATTTATCGCTTCGCTTCTCAGACAGCCCATAATGAGCATATTCATGCTCTATAGTTTAGAAAAAGAATTCTACTGTAAAAAGATCTGAAATGTGCATGTTGGGCCAGCTTAAAGAAAGAAATTTGCATGATTGCGAAGATTTTGAGAAATCTGAGATTGTAAAAGCTTGCTCAAACAAAATGTGTTTCGAAGAAATTCAATACTTTGCTGAGAAATTTACCTCACTTGGTCTTGAATTGCTTGTCCAAAGTCGGAAAAATTGAGGGATTAGATTGCAAAATCAGTGAAAGGCAAAATCTCATGAATCTCGTTTCAAAAGCTTAGGAAAGAAATAATTTTTGAAGCTTGTTTGCCCGCAGACGGTTTTGATGGCATTTTGGTTCTCGCACAAAATTCCTTCCCTTGTGTTGTTCGTTCTATTTCATATGTCGAATCGTCGACACCAATTATAGCAATTTTTTTATCGTCTTAGCTAAATTTGAGGCTTTCACATCGCGTGTATCCGTTTTTTCATAGATTTTTAGGTAGAAAATTGATCTCACCTTATGATGTCATAATAATTTTGCGAAGGAAACGAGGTTTGAGTCAAATATAAGCTTGAAGGCTACTCAGGCAAATCTGGATATTTGATTTTTTTGGAAGTACTGTTTGGGAGGAATTAGTAAAGCCATTGCGCAAGCAGCACTTCTTGTTAGGTAATTTATATCATCCTTTAGGCGCAGAAATTTGACATTATCTTCAGCACTGCAGTTGAGAAAAAATCTTGGTAGGGGTACGGTACTGGGCGAGAGTATCGAGTTAGCTTCCTGGACCGCGTATAGATCGTAGGAGCTGCCGCTTGGACTATGACTTAGCTGAGATTTTTCAATCAGTTTCCGCATATGAAACCCAGGTATAGACTAACGATGAAGTTTCATATTGTGTCCCCTGCGGTGTCGGTTTGGCGCGAAATGACCCTCGGTGTACTTTCACGAAATCTTCAGTTCATGACCATTTATTCACGCGCGAATGTTGTCTGCAGCGCAAGGGACTGTATGAAACGTCAAATCTACAAATAGGGATCCGGATCTGGCTGGGCGCCTATTTCCAGCCTTCTAACTAATTTTAGTTCAGTATAAGTACAGCACAACTTGCGCATTATTCCACGACTTGTACGCTTGTAGTTTGTCAATTTATATGTCTTGTTTCCCCTCTGTTTGATTTTTGAACATTTCCGAGCAGATGCAAGTAATCGGCCCGTAGGATTGTTTCGCCGAGGCGATGAAACTTGTGCGCACAATGTGCAGACTCACTATCAAATCACAAATTCCTTTGAATATAAATGCCTATCGCTCAATAAAGTCTTGAAGTTGTTTTCTTGCAAAAACTGTTTCTCGAACTTCGGAGGAAAGAATAAAAGAATCAAGGCAGGGAACCAATCAAAGCACAATGTTTATTTTCAAAATTAACTACTAAGTAATGTGAAAATACGAGTAATAGCAACCTCTTATTTGGCTTTAATATCACATCGAAACCAAATTGAAAACAAAAGGCTTTATTTTTGGCCACATTAATCACATGTCTGCATTCTTGCGCCTTGTTATTTGGACAACAATGCCTATAGATGCTCAAGCTCAGTGTTCTTCTCATTCTGTCATACGGCCAAACAATGGTAAAACCAGCATATAAGTCATATGGCAGCTTTTACAATTCATCTTAACTCTCCATTTCTTTACTATTTTTTTCTTTCCGCAAAATGTGAATCTTCTGCAACTGCTTTTTCAACGAGGAGCTTTCCTTTGAACTCCAGTAATTTTTGGAGAACGTATTTTCTCTCAATCCAAACTTACACGGTTTATTTTCAGATTATGCTACAGCGACAGTATCTACAATAAGAAAGAAACATACTATCAAGCCGTAGATCACACTCTGTCGTCAGTGATGAACGGGCTGACATTCCAACTTCAGGTAGGATCTGTAGACCTATAATCATACCGTATCTGTTTTCACTGCTTGCCCGTCGCCAACACAACTTTAAATTTCTAGTAAATTTGAGGGCAAAAAAAAATTCTTTACAGATTTTTGGAAGATTTACTGGCTTTGAGCTACTCGATAGTGCATTATATGTTCCCTTCAAATATCGAAACTAAATTAGAAAATGACTTTTTTGCGACGGTTTTGCATTATAATTACGTCGCAACTACATTTTTTTCTATCAGTTTCCTAGAATTTGGAACATTCTCTGATTTTTATATCTACGATCAATCCAACGATGTGATTGTTGTATCCTAAAAATAACAGCAAATGAAGTAGAGAAAAAAGTTGTAACAAATATAATAGATTCGTATTGAGGTCGAAAGTGAAGACTCCACCCGGAATCTTCCAAGAATCAAAAATGAAAAAAGTGAAAAAATCAGCTTTTATTCAGCCACATTTGAAGATTGGCTTTTTGCCAAACAGAAAATTAGGCAATCCAAAAGCGGAAAACAACTTTGCTTCTCTCCAGGTTCAATTTGATTTTGCATGTGCTTTTAGTCTGGCATTCACAAGCGGACGCTGACCATCGATTCGCCAGAGATTTCGTTGCGAGATCTACGTTCAGAGGCTTTCAAATTCATACAGGATACGGTAGGTATACTGTACTTATAATAATCTCATGTGTCTAATACAAAATACTTACTCATGTCCTTCTATAGCATTTTTATGCGCCATAAATTACGATGAAAAAACTTTTTTGAGAGCATTTTTTCCCTTTCCCTAAAACTGACGCGTGATCCTTCTTGCTTCCTCACTTTTTTCCTTCTCTTCCGATTTTCTTCCTTAGGTTGTTTTTTTCATTTTTTCTCGCGTTTTATGTTTATTTCTAGTATTTCGAGCCCGTGTCCCTTCCCCAAATTGCCCTATATTTTGAGACAAACACCAGACATAAGGGTTAGAAGAATCTCATCAAGCGTGATGTTCGCCACATTCCTTCCTCGTGATGCACCAATAATTGAGAATTCACCAAATAAGCTCGTGAGAATATTAGCACACGCGCTCTGCTGTGTGGCGCTGCATCCAGACGACCTTGCGTTTTTTCTGCCTTTTTTTGTCTCATCGAATTTTCTTCATAGTCAAATAGATGATTGAAACGGCCTAAGGAGAGTCGGCATCTAGCATTTTCCTGTAGTTCTAGCAAACGAACAGTGCTGGCGCAAGTTTTTCTGCTGGCGGGGGGAAGGGACGTCATAATTTTTTCTTAGTAAAAGTAATGTAGGCACTTCCTTCTAAACATTTTTATGAAACTCTCAAAGTTTTCATAAGTTTGGAAATCATAAGATTTTAACAATGGCAATTGAACTGTTTTTTCCTAACCCCTCTTTCTCCTCTATGTGCCACTGGGAAGACAAAATAATGTCCCCATTCAGAAATTGTTCTCCTTTTTTTAGACTTTTTCTTCTTGTCATGAGACACTTTTAGCAGACATACAAAACTTTAACCCCATGCTTTTCACATGCCCAATTCAATGAATCGTTTTTGAGCACTACAACTATCAGTATTTGAGTTCTTAAAAATTAAAAAGTGATGAGTCATTTCAGGCTACATTTTGGTATATTACAACAGTATACTAGCTATTGTTTACCTAAGCTTTTATCTTGCCAAACGTAAATAACAGTCCACGAGGTGGTAAAAATTTTTGTGGCCCAGCTTCACGGTGTCTCCCTCCATAAAGTCAGGACCAATTTCCTGCGTTTCGGCTCAAACCAAACGGGTTTTGTCCGTTTTTTGGTCTTACTTTTTCGAAAAGACCTTAAAATTTGTTTCGCGGATCTGACAGCTAGTCTGAAGTCTTTTTGTTATAAATCACAAAAATTCAAATGAAACAAAAAAAGGTTTCTCCATCTTACAATATACCCTTTGATCCAACTGGCTTGGCGGCTGAAAGGCAGTGCTTTGTGACCTAATTAAGGCTAGGTAATGATCACAGAGCACGCGCGCTAAAGAAACGCAGACTGCGTCGCGGGTGCGAGCCGTTTTAATCAGGTCACAAAGCCCCACCTTCCAGCCGCTAAGCCTGTTGAATCGAAGGTTATATTCTTCTTTCTTGCCCTAATCCTAGAAGATTTGATGTCTCAAATTAGTATAAACAAAAGCTCTTGTTAAATATACGGAATTCGCCGCTTCTTGAAAATACTTCTTCAAACTTCGTTTATTTCTTGCATGTACAAAAAAAAATGTTGATGTTGTGAAAAAAAATGTTCATGCGTCAAAAATAACATCGAACATTCTAACTTATCAATTACAAGATCTATTGACGATCAGTCGTACAAGTAGTTGAATTGTGAAAAAATTACCAATTTTTTGCTTTTTCTCTATTTTTATCTAACTATATGTCGACGACGCTTTTTCTCCGGAATCTAATGCTTCAAAATTTTTTGCTTCAAACTTTTTCCTCATGATTCCCTTTTCCATCTCTCAAATCTATTTCTTATGAATTTTCGGGAGCTATTTCCAAACCTACCGTCCTCAGCACCCTTCGTTCGCCCCATTTTCGCACTTCTCCATTTGCACAGGGGCGCCTAATGCTCTCAATATGATGAGGTAGTTATCGCTCGCAGCAGCAGAACCCCTGCGAAGTGTCGGCATGTGTCTTTCGAAAGAAGTTTTTGCTCTGCACTTGCCCCGCTCGATAAACCTTATTTGTGCCGCATCGATAGGGATGTCCCTCGATAGAGAGCAAAAAACTCTTTGTGCTACATATTGCCACTAGGGCAATTCGTCCCAAAAATAGGAAGATATTGAAATTTTGGAACTGCGAAAGTGTAGAAAATTTTGCATTATCTGCAAATGGGATAAATTTCTATGGTTACTGACTAAGAGGTTCTTTTGCTTTTCCTCCTATCTTCCACGGTAGCTTACTTTACCCAGTGTCCAATCAAATTTTGATCAATTTTTGAAAGGAGGGGAGGGAAGGTGGGCAAGGCAGAGAATTTTTTCGGAGAAGGGGCGTGCTTTAAAATTTTGGTGTTTCCCTAATTTTTCGCGAATGCTACGTCCATGAATTTACATTTTTTTGACCATTACAAGAATTCGGTGACCCACGTCGGGACTCCCCCTCCCCCCTCTTGTCTGTAATGCTTCCTACCTCCACTTTCGAAGCACAAACCTAGTACTATGATTGATATTGTATTCGAGATTTATCTATAACCACAAAAATTTTTTTTATTTCTCTCTGAGACACGTTTCAAAAACTTCATAGCTCACTTCAGTATTTTTTTCTAATCCTTTACGCGTATCCTTCAAAATCGACTCGTTTTCAATGCTCATCTAAGCCATACAAAAATCTTATTTATCGATTACACAGGGAAAATCCTTTCTTTTTAATTTTCTAGTGAAATGCCTTATTTATGCATTTTACTTGAAAAAGTAATACTTTTCTTAATTTCATATTTCAAAGCCAAAGTCTCACACCACAATTTTTTCTCTCCCACCACAATTTTTTTTCAACATAAAAAATCCCATATTTCAGAAACTTGTTTACTCCCTTGTTCTCGACTCTAATCTCGAAGAATCCTCCCACCTTGGGATTAGCCCCATGTAATCAACTGTTTTCATAAATCTGTTTACCCAACAGAATGTATGATTATAGAAAATAACAGTCTTAACAGCAGTCTTTTCAGTATCCCGAAGGAGTGTGCGATTCGTTGCAAGATCACATCTTGCTTTATAAACATGATCTACGTTCGATAAATATTCTACAATTAATTACGACCAGTTCAGACATATCCGAAGGCACACTGGTTGAGATCGTTATCAGCTGTAAGTCATTTTATTTGAATCTTAATTTTTACTTCCTTCGTTGTTCTTAATAACGCTTTTGTTCATGAACTTTTGGCAGAGTATGTGCGATTTTTTATGATACTCTCAATGTTTTTGAATGATCAAATCGGGTCGGGTATCCTTACATCAAAATTTTTTGAACATTTGCAAATTAGTATACCAAGTGTGGCTGCTTAGTTAGCTTTATATAGAAATTTACATGTCATTATGTCAGCTTTATTAGATCATTTCTAGCCTTTTAAGACAAATTTTCAAAAATTTTTAGAAGCTTTTTGGCTCATAAATGACTGGTAATTGGTAACTAGCCTTTTGTGTGATTTTTCGGAAAAGAAATGTTTTACAAGTTTCTTGTGTCATCTTCGGAAGGGCCTGAAAATCACCTCTAGCGTTTTTGAAAAACCTTTTTGAAATGGCTGGAATATTACATTTCATCCTCTTCTTGAATATGCTCCTTAATTTTTATAAAAACTTCGAAAATTTCAATATGTACTTGTGATTCTATTTTGAGATTTTTGGCATCAAACTTTTTTAGATTATTTTTGAAATTTTTTATGCTATTTTTTATATGCCGTAAACTTTATCCAGCAGTCCAGAATTATGCGAAATTTCCTAGAACTACATTATTCTTTCTCACGACATTCCTCGCCCATAATATAGTAAACAGCATTGCCCGCTCCCACCCCATCCATGACCCTACCGGACCCGGAAGATCTTGTGCCCTTATGCGACGCATTTGCAAAGGTGAGATGATAAAGGTGTCGAGGGGTGGCTGGCTGGCTGGCTGTGTGTGAGTGAGAGTGTGAATGTCGTCATCGACAAGGGCCCTATGTCTTTGCGATCAATTCGCTCGCTACTTCTTCTAATCGCCTTCTACAAAGCTTCATTCCGATAATCCTCCTCTCTACACTCTCGAGCTCCCCGACACCTACTGGGCAACGAGCCGCAGAAACTCTCACCCAGAGCCAAGCAGCTGGCTGGCTTTTGCTTCATCCTCTGTCCGTGCGTCGCCGCGGAACTCGTCCCGACAGTCTCTCTATCGACTATAAACTCTAGATGAAATGCCCTTCACTCCTACAAAATTCATTGGATTCGACTTCCACTCCCATTCCCATGGACATGCTTCTCGCCACGATACCCACTCACATGGTGGGCACTCCCCACGCCACGATTCCGAGTCCCACTCCCACGGGCATGCTCCCAGGCAAACACAGTCTGAAGGAGATGCTCCACAACAGGACAAGGAGAAGTTTTTACTTGGACATCCTCCCCGGAAGCTAACTCATTCACATGGGCATACTCCCACTCCGCCCCCACGAAATGGAAAAATGGAAAGGTCCAGTTCGGACAGAAGAACCATTATCCTTGCTGGTTCGTGGAAAGTTGAAATGAGCTTGCCTCTCACACCCCGGCCAAGTTTTGGGAAGAAGTGCAGTTGTACCATAAAAATAGGTGCGCTGGAGAAAAGAGTTTTGAATTTTCGGCAAAAAAAATCCTGAATAAGGACTTTTTACTTTTGCCTATAAATAAATACCTTTTCTTCTGTATTACAACGGTTTTTTAGCAATATCTTTTTATCAATTTTTCTAAAAGTGTATATATGTGATCTAGAAAATATTTGATTGCAAACATTAATCAAGATTAAATTTTTGGGATTGCAGCTGATCGGTTTACCTATAAAAAAACCGAAAACCATTGCAAAAATTTTTGGCAAAATTACAGAAGATTCAATCGTTTCGACTTTATCCTATAATTTTTCGATTTTTTAAACTTTTTCCAAAATCATTTGCAGAGTCATCTTAGTGATATTTAAGCCTGTCCGCAACATGAGCGGCTTGTGGTCCATCCACATACGCTCTATGTCCATTCCTATAAAGCTCCAACATTCTGTGACTTCTGCGGCGAACTGCTCTTTGGTCTCGTCAAGCAGGGCTTGAAGTGCCAAGGTTAGTCCCTAAGGTTTATTTTTTGAGTGCTCATCTTTTTTTTTACAAACATTCCTATACATGTCATAAAAATGTTCATCATGTCCTATGATCACGAAGAAAATGAAACTATAACGATTTATTGGAGTGGTAAATGACAGGTGGCGCTCTACCGGGAGATTCTGTTGGACCTCACTAGATTTCATAAGAATGAGTGCTTTCTATGCCAGTATAAATATAACTTTTCCTACGTAAGTGTTCCTTACGCGGTTTGATCGAAAGGTTTCTAACCTGTCTAATTTAAAGCGTACAGCTGGTGAGATCTTGGATAGTGAGATAAAATAGTGGGAGTTAGAAATTCTAGTTTTAAAAGATGTTTTATAATAAAACATTATCCAGGGTTGAAGAAATCTAGTTGAACTTGAGATTCAAAAAACTTTGCAGAGAATAATGAGCCTTGGACAAGATTTTTTCACTATGAACAGTCTTCTCTAAACCTTAAAGTTAACCGATTACGGTAGGTTAGGGTAGTTTCCGTTTTATGTATTACATACTTCATATACAGGGTGTCCCAAAAAAAATGTTAACACTGTTTGATCGTTAATAACTTCTGAGGCACCATTCTGTAAAGCGAGGTTCAACTTAGATTTGTATTATGGAGCGAATCACCGATCGCTCTTCGTTACTGTAGGATTACGGTATGAACTTCTAGCATGTGATCCATTGTAAAATACACCATTCGACAAATTTTTTTCAAGAAATCTGAAAAATCGTGTACTAGGGTTTTCGCGCACGCTGATTCCACTACACAACTTTTGACGAGTGTTTTTAGCTTTTTTGACGGTGTAATCACCTTTCTGACAAGTGCTGAAAATTCATTTATTACGTTTTACCTGGGAAAACCCAGGAAAGAAGCATCACAGTGAAGTGTAAATTTCATAATCAAAATCAGCGGCTTCGATTACCACAGTATAAGAGCTACTGGCTTGTTTGGTTTGTTCCGAGGCAGAATATGGCCTCCAATGGCCTAAAATCCATGTCGAAGTTCCTACCGTAATCCTACAGTAATGAAGAGAGATTGATGATTCGCTCCCTACTGCAAATCTAAGTTGAACCTCGCTCTACAGAATGACGCCTAATGCTCGGCGAAAGACATGAAAGCAAGGGAGTTATTTCCGATCAATCAGTATTAACATTTTTTGGGACATCCTGTACAAAGCGCTTCTGAAAAGAAGAACACCCCTAATGTACCTTGTAATTAAGCCGTAGAAATTATTTGTCAGGAAGAAACTTTCTCGGGACAATCAATAACCACTAGCAAGATTAGCAAGGACAGCAGTCGTCTCTTGTTATATTCCATCGTTTAACTCATGATAAGCCAGTTTCCGAGCTCGTAAATTTCCGAACATCTGAAGTAATCTATCTTTCAAGCAGGGAATCGAATTGAGAGTATGAAACGCTGATTCCAAATCTGTCTTTCTCATCTGCTGCGGGCTTCTTAACAAGGAGCTTTGAAGATTTTTACGGGCAAAACTTCAATGCCTGATCAGTGTAAATTCAGTCGTTAACTTTTCTCAGGGTTTCAAGGTGGCAGAGTTGAGTAGATACGTTTAAACTAATTGTAAAAATATCTATTGCAAAGAGTAACTCGACAATTATTCGAGCCGTAGGAAAATTGTTACCACTGGTTTTGTCCTAGCTGCACATGCACATTTTTCCTCATAAAAACCTTTGACTCCGTACCCAGAAGTCTGCAGCAGGTAAGGAAGGTAGATTTGGAATCAGCGTTTCAAACCGTTTAAACTAGTATCCATCTCATATCAAAAGGCCACTTCGACTAATTTTCCTTTCCTTGTCAGCAGATAAGGCGTATGTAATCAAATTTTCCTCTCAAAACATGCCCCTTTTTGTTGACAAATACTAGCGAGCAAAAAAATTGAGGCAGCAATACCTTGTCTCAGGTCTTCTTCGATGTTGCCAATTTCCAAGAAAAATTTCCTTGTATACAGCTTTCCTAAGAGGATTTCTTGCTTTTTCTTAAGCCAAACTCGCTGCCATTTTCACAAGTTGTATCATATCCTCTAAGCGCCATCCATATTGATTGTGCAGACATCGAAGTGAAGCTTATTATCTCAAGCTTTTACTTTAATCGCTGCTCTTCATATGGCTTGCATGTGATCGGAGCTGTATTAGCATTGTTTTTCACTTAGAATATTAAATGACAGGCTTTCCATTAGGAAAGTCTGCAGAAATATCGAGAAATTAGGGAGGGAATGGGGTAAAGGGGTTATAATAAATGAAACTATGGAGGTAAATCACCCTCGGAAGAACTCGAAGTTTTTATATTTATCGAAAAAATTAGAATAATTCTATAAAAAAACAGCTCCAAAAGGTTTAAGAGCAGTTAGGCAGTTCGCCTACAGTAGTCTTACAGTATCGTTCTTTAGGATGCGGTCTCAACTATCACAAAAGATGTGCATCAAAGATCCCGAACAACTGCAATGGTTCCCGGCAAAGAAGACCTAGCGCAATTCCCTTGTCGCCATCCACTTCGAATGTTTTCAGTATGGGCGACAGAAGGGTAAGTTAGGCAGAGAAATCTGGGTTTCTGAATTTCCTATGTGGAAAATGCATGGGAGAGATTAGTCAAGCAAGTTGCCGACGGCAGCTCATATAAATCACTTGTAGCCGAAAATCTCACCTCTAAAATTCTCGCCCAGACCGCAACATCTGTGAGCAGCCAGAGTAGGGAGTACTGTCTGGGCGAGGGTCTAGTGTAAAGTTTCTCAGCCACGAGTCAATCTCGGGAAATGTGGTTTAGCTAAGGCTTCCTTCAGATCCACGTAAGAAATCAGGTCCCCAGATTCTGTTTGGACACCACTTTTTGAGGGCACAAGAATATTTATTTGATGTTATATAAAAACAGTTAATTGATAATTTACTTTATCCGTGATATTTTTTAGCAATCCCGTCGTGAATCATGTCTGGATGCTCTTGATACTGCTCGTCCAGCCTCTACCATGGGAACGGCTCAACTGGCACCTGATATCTACATCACAGCGGATGACTGTGGAGATGCGGTTGGTGGCAATGTAAGCACTCAAATCCCTCACTCGCAATCCTTTATTGTAAAAATATCTGGTTTTGTGGTTGTATCACGCTTGATAATTGCAGAAAAATAATTTTAAATTATCTGCTTTAGTTCCTCCAAATGCCCCGAAAAGATCGCAGTTGTTCATGGAGTGGACGACCTTTGTGGATGGAAGTTGCTGAGGCCACTAGAGTCAAGGTATGCCATCGCAACGATGGAATAATTTTTCTATTTTCTGACACGAACTTTTTTTTTTCACAAAAGAGTGAATTTCAGGTGCCACACACCTTCCAAGTTCATAGCTATAAGCGACCAACTGTTTGTCAGTACTGTAAAAAGCTCCTCAAAGGGATTATAAGGCAAGGCATACAGTGTAGGGGTAAGTCACTTATTTCATTTCATTTCATTTATTGCATAGGGTAACCCTATGATAACTGCAACAATAACAAAAAAAAAGAACATACGAAACCAGAACACAACAAAAATGGAATCATGAGTGATAGCTCGTGACCAACCCGTGTTAGTAACAACAAATTACCGAGACTGTAGATAGTTCCTTAAAACAGACTTAAACGTAGACAACTTTGCAGGAAACAGGCGTTTTCTAATAAGCTTGTCCATGTCATTGATTACACGACATGTAAAAAAGTGTCGGCGAACTTTGTGTTTTGATCTGGAGATAATCAATTTTCTACTCCCTCCCCTTGTATTAGAAATCCTGGTAGGAAAAAATACCCCGAAATCCAAGCCACAATGACCATACGCAATCTTATGTGCCATGAGAAGGTCAAACTTACGCCTTCTATAGGCAAGGGAAGAAAGCCCTAATTCAGTGTTCCTAGTCATACCATTCGGTATGAGATCATATCTGAAACCAATTCTTCGGATGAAAAGTTTGCGTGTAAAACTATTCTGAACTCTTTCCATATAGTCAATCGTTTTATGCAAATGAGGACAAAAAATAACAGTTCCATATTCAACCATAGGTCTGATGAACGATTTGTAAGCTTTCAATAGAGAAGCCGTGTCATTAATTGCGAAAGCCCTGAACAAGTTATATACCGATCTAGTGGCTTTATCTGCTATCAACTTGCAGTGATCATCGAAGGTGAGGTCGCTTTTGACCATGAAGCCCAGATCTCTTATAGAATCAACTTCTTGAAGATAAGTTTCCCCAAGGACATACTTAAAGTTTGGATTAGATGTCTTTGGACCGATATGGATCACTTTAGTTTTCTCTGTAGAAATAGGAAGAGACCACTCCTGCGACCAATCATAAACCTCATTGAGTGCTCTTTGCAACCGTTCATAGTCTGTCACATCCTTGACAACTGCATACAGTTTGAAATCGTCAGCGAAAGCGCTGCAGGAAATCCCCTGGCTTAAAGGAATAGAAGGAAGCTCGTGAGTATAGATATTAAATAGCAGAGGTGAAAGCACACCACCTTGTGGCACACCGCTATGCATCTTCCTCAGACTGGAGAAAGAGCCATTAACACGCACCGTGAAAGATCTGTCCTCCAGAAAGGCTTTTATCCACGCCACAACACGTGGGTGTATTCCTACCATAACCAATTTCTGCAACAGCTTAGGGTGTGGTACTTTATCAAAAGCTTTGGTGAAATCCAAATAAATAACATCGGTATTCAGCCTATTCTCAAGGTTTTGTGTCCAATCATTGAGGCATTGCAACATGGCTGTCGTCGTGGACTTACCACTCTGAAAACCATGTTGGACAGGAGAAATAATTCTATTGCTCTCTAGATGCTTGATAATACGCCTTTTCAGTATCTTTTCAAAGAGCCTAGCAAAAATTGAGGTAATGCTAACGGGGCGAAAGTTATAAGGGGAGGTAAACGGTTTCTTTTTCGGAATCGGAGTCACATATGAAGCCCGCCACCTATCCGGTACCTCGGCCTTCATCATACTCAAATTGAACAGGAACTGGAGGGGCCCGGCTATCACGTGCGCAATCAACTTTATGAACTCTAGTGGAACCATATCAGGTGTCACGGAAGTTGACTTGGGCCAAGCGATCAGCAACTGGCCAAGCGATCAGCAACTTATCGCGTTTTTCCTTTTCCGTAAAAAGGGGACAAACATTTTCAAGAAATTTTTTGATTTTTTTCGACATTTCTTCCTTATCTCTTGATAAGAAGTTGACAAACATTCTCACTATCGTTTGATATCCCTGACAAAAAAATGAAACTTGGAAGTAGGATCCTTGAATTTAACGTAAGTTGGAAGTGCTTGAGCTTTTTGAAAATTAATTAAATATTGTGTTATTTGCCTTTTATTGAAATACAATAATCGAGTTAGATTTTTTCTAGATTGTAAATACAATTGCCACAAGAAGTGCAGCGAATTTGTCGCAAAAGACTGTCCTGGCAATCCATCCGCCAATCATTTCTTCCTCGGAACTTCCGACGATGGTGAGTTTTCCAATAGGAAACTTTATAATACACTTATCCTATATCTTTCAAGACCTAGATCTTCTTATTTGTGCTGTGCTTACTTACTATCAGCTTTTCCTGGACATTTTCTCCTTGGTTTACTTTGCATAACTCTCACTGCTTTTAAGCCAGAAAAAACCATTATTCTAGGAAGAAAAATTCGAGAAAAATTTGCCCTATCGTAACTATGTGAAAGAGACAAAAGGTTTTATAACCAGCTTTGTTAGGTCGCAGTCTTGGTGGAAGTATGGAGAATCTGCGAATGTGCAGTGTGCCGTACGATGACACGGAAGAAGAAGCGGGTAGCAAATGATAGTAGTAGTCAAAATGTGCAGAAAAGCGAGTTGTCCACATGAACCACTTTCATTTTTCGTGAGGTTTTTCAAATATCAGTTCTTCAAATCAATACTAGCTCGATAGGAGGCTGGACAATTCGTCTTTTCCGGTAGTAGCAAACCTTGTTTCAATTAGCTTTAGTGCTATCTGTCGTGTCTAGAAACGCATGAGTGCCCATCAGATTATTTAACTTTGTTTCCTTCAGTCCTCCTTTTGGAATGAAATTGGTTTTTTGAAAAGTTCATCATAGTGTTAAGCTTCTACAAAGAGCCGTAATATTATAAAAGGTCGTAGCATTTTAGAAAGCGATCGAGTCCAAGAAAAAGATGGTTCAGATGCTAGTCGAAATGTGTGCGTACATAAAAATCTTATGAAATAATATTTCACTACGGTCAACATTCAAAATTTAGAGTTGAATATTTCCCAAAAGTTCCTTAGAGAATACATCTCACTTACAAGAGAGGGTAAACGTGTAAAAAATCTGATCGCTTAGCGTACCCGGTGTCTGAAAAATATTTACGAAAACATAGTGTCCGATAAATTCGTCTTAGCCCACTGTGTGTGCTTGTTTTTATAACCATAACAATTAGATAACGCTGTAGGAGCTGCACCTGCGCCCACTCGTACTTAGCCCCATAGATCTCTTAGCACTTGTCCCAGAAACACCACCCTCGGTTGTTGTAGTTAGTCGTGTATCCCTAATCATCTCATGTCCCAGTGTTACTGCGAAGTTTTGGGTTTTACGTATATAAGATTGCTTTTAGGTACCACTGAAGAGCAAGGGGATGAGAATACGCAATTGCGGACTCATAAGAAAGCACAAAATACGCCAAGCGCACCGTTGCATAGCTCTGAAGATTTCAATGGTCAAACAAGTCCGGATGACGATGTAATGACAGCTGAAAGCCAGGTAGAGACCTTCAAATGTCCACTTTGTCTTCCTTTGCCCTTTTACTAATTATGATCTTCCAGAACATTCCACTCATGCGAGTTGTGATGTCCAAAAAGCAGACTAAACGAAAAAATAACAAAGTGTTGAAAGAAGGCTGGGTGGTACACTACACGAATCAAATGAACATGGTATAATTTTTTTATTTTTCATTTTTTTGGATTTTCGTCAAATAAGATAATCTATCACAGAGAAAGAAGCATTACTGGCGACTGGATACTAAAAGTTTGATTATGTACCAGGATGAGACGTCGACGCGGTATTTCAAGGTAATAATTCTGATTTTGGTTATACTCCTCAAAGCAGTGTTGATCAATAATAAAATGTTCAGTCAATACCGTATACCTAACGTGATCTCACAAAAGCATCACTCGCTTCCTCCATGGAAAATGAGCATCATTTTCTCAATTTTTTGCCAGCTTTATGTTTATAAATTTTTTATAAAGTAAAGCCTATTTTTTTTTTCTTAGTATTTTTCGCCCTTTCTTGAAGTGTGGAATATTTCAGGAAATCCCACTGAATGAAGTGCTGTCGCTAGAAAATGTGGACCATGCTTCTCTGAAGAAAACCCCTACACATTATTTTGAGATAAAGACGCAAGATTGCACATATTACATCGGTCAGTTTGAACATTATTTTTTTTCGTTTTTTGTCATAGATGGAAGCCAGCTACTCTAATGTTTGCTGAAAAGTTTTCCTTTATTTGCATTCTAATCACATCATCCATTAGAGGGCATTCTCAAGGAACTTGCATTTTCTCTTCTCGCGTTTCTGCTCTTCGTGCGTAGACGATTTTTCTTTGCAAATGTGAGCCAAAACTCCCATAATCAACTTATTTCCGCAAATATTTATTCAAAATTTTCCCTGTTAAATAAGTTCAATCGATGTTTAGCAGCGCAAAACCTTCGAAAATTGAGCAGAAGAGTTTTTATTGCACAACCTTCTCGCTATCTTTCTTGCAAGTGTGACCTAATTCATTACTTTCTCCTAGCGCCATTCACTTCCATCTATTTCTTTTTCTTGCATCAAGGGCCATTAGACAAGGAAAAAAGTCGTGCAGAGGCGGCTCCTGCACAATTCCTGAGTATAAGGAGTCCGGCGGATAACTATCCCTACTGTTTATTTATCTATCTACTTATTTCGTGGGTAAGACTTATGCGCCGAGGCTGAAAAGCCTATCGCTCTTGCGTGTAAATAAACAGCAGATATCCGCGTAACGACTGCAAACGCACCTGTTTGCTGTAATCATCAAAACAACGCAAAGAGCTGTGCAAAACAATAACAACAACGGTTTTGATATGCTTGTGATCTCTATCCCATCGTACAGTTGTTCAGACATTGTTCCCTGACAGGTGCTGCCTGTTTGTTTGTAGTGCAAAATTTATTTTTGGGGGGGGGGGGCACTTTATTTCTTTCCTGCAGAACATATGTTCCTTCACGGCCTTCTGTCTCCGCTTTTAGCCCTATTTTTAATTCCTTGTGATCGCTTTTTATGGAGACAATTTGTGGATTTCCAGCTTTCACCAAATTCTCCCATGGGTTAACTCGGTTTTTGGCTCCGCCCAGCCACGCCTCTTTCGGCTTTTGTGGATTTCAATTTTCATCTTTTATGCGTTAGAAGTTAGCGCTATTGTGCCCTAGAACATATTTTAGCTCTTCCTCTAGCCACGCCTCTTCTTGGATTTTGCCTTCCCCTTCCACGAATAATGTCCCGCTGATAGCACTACCTGTGTGGTTTTACCCTTTCTGCGTAGTAGGCAAGTTTCAGACTGGGCAAAATTGCTTTTTATTGCGTAACTAGTTGACTTACCCGGCTCCGCCCGGCCCTGTCATTATTATATTCGTAATCAGCATGCTCGATTACCCCCCTGTGCCAACTCCCAGCCCCGTAGCTCAAATTTTGCAAAAAATCGATAAAATCGATATCGATCGATGACGAAAAGTAGCCTATGACACCCGTCGGGGCCCGAAGTGTAAGTGTGCCAAGTTTGGTCCGGATCGGTTCGAAAAGGAATTTTCTATTCGGAACATACGTACACACAGACAGACAGACAGACAGGCAGACAGACATACAGACATACAGACAAACAGACATTCAGCTTTATATATAAGAATTCCCTGTTGAGATACGGTAGCTACACGGTAGGGACAGTCTGCTCGTATCTTTTAGAACTTTACCATGGAGTTACTACAAGAAGGCAAAATTAAGCGACTTGATTCCCATATACCTATTTCGTTGTAATAAATCAGAAAAGTTAAGAGTCCAAAAGGTTTGGTTTGATTAACGCAAAAATTCAGTATATCCCCTACCTGTACCGTACCCATATTGTATCCCAATACTATTACAATCCCAAAAGTATGTATACACTGTTTGATCTTTAATATCTCTTTTCCCAAGAAGTCTTTTGTTTTGCTTCAGGTACCATTTTGAACTGGCTTCAACTTGAATTTGCAGTATAGATCGAATCACCTATCTCTCTTCATTACTGTAGGATTACGGTAGAAACTTCAAAGAGGGGTTTAAGCCATGAAAAGCCATATTTTGCCTCAGAAAAGGAACAAAACAGCCAGAAAACTTTTACACTAGGCTAGTTAGAGTTTCTGATTCTAACTGTAAAGTTCCCAAAGTTTTGTTATTATGATGCTTTATTGAAGAGTTATGCCAGGTAAGAGGTAGCGGCCATTTTTTCAATGCTCCTAAAAAGTGCGGTTACACCGTTTAGAAAACTTAGTAATCTTGTCAGTAGTTGAGTATTGAACTCAACGTCCATAAATTCCTATTACACGAGTTTTCACATTTCTTTGAAAAATTCTGAAATGGCAGCTTTTTCCACATTGACACCATATGTTTCAAGTTCCTACCGTAATCCTACGTGAGTAATGAAGAGCGGTCGGTGATTCTCTCCATACTATAGTAGCTCTAAGTTGAAGCCAGCTCTACAAGATGGTACCTGAAGCAAGGCAAAAAACTTCCTGGGAAGAGAGATATCAACGATCAAACAGTGTATACATACTATTGGGACACCCCGTAGTATAGCATGGCATTCCACGGTCTGGAATTCGTATGTTGCCGATTTATACCTCAGAACTAATATAACACAGATAATCGAAGGCAGTTCTTTTTTCCTCGGCTACTTTAAGCTTACTTTATTTCGAATGGACGGCATGGACTAGATTTTTCCAAGACGGTATATGTCTTGCGAATAGATCTTTGTTCTTCGGCGCGTTTATGTGCGCGGCCGTTGTTCTATGTTCGTTGTAAAACTGTCCAATCGTACTTTTCAGCTGTAAAGTTCTTCCTATTCCCGTCTCACAGTGTTTGCAAACTGAACACTTTCAAAACTGCAGTTGTGGAAGATTTTGTACCAGATTTTTCTAGTTCGGTGTTAATTTTCGCATTTTATGAAAAATCATGTTTCTGATTTGTTTGGTACCCGGATGAGCTGATAGTCAGTTCGAGTTCGTAAAGTACAATAGCTTTTCAGCGAGAGAGGGGAAGGTAGAGGCTAATTCTAGACACAGCGCTCAGAGAACATTAGGAGAAATCAGTTATTGAGTTTTCCTGTTTTTCGAGCGTTGGTCTGGTCGCTGGTGAAGCTTCAGTCTCGTGTGCTTCACCCACCGCACGCGCTTCTCCCAAAATGCAGTTTTTTGGAACAAACGTGTCTTTTGAGGATGGGGGGGGGGGACTAGAACTAGTAAAATGTTACTTTCTTACTTCTACCTGTAAACATCAAAATATTGCTTCCAGAATCATTAAAATCCCTAGTAATAATATCTCAAATGTCATTGAAAAGAACTATTACTAAAAAATGTCAAAATTTAATTTTCGACATATCGCTCCTACTCCGCCCTTTTCTTCTTCTTCTCTCTCCCCTTCCCCCGACCCTCCACCTCCTTTCCCCTTCTCCAATTTTATCCTTTCATTGTCCTGCATCATCTTCCGTATATCTTCTGCGGTCGTCCTTGATGAAAGGAGAACCAAAAGGAAAAAGCTTCATCTGCAATGCAATTTGATCGAATTTTCTGAATCCTAATGAATTTTAAACCTGCTTTTCTGAAGAATAACCTGAGAAATGCGACTAAAAACCATTTTTGTATAATTCACTTTCTCGTCATTTATTGAGTTTTATCTCATAATGACTTTTTGCTTACAACTTCGACGATTACAGCTAAGCTTTTTGGAGTTGGGATGATTTACAGCATTTTTTTCCAATTTTCCTCGTACTCTGGACCCTACTTTCCCTCCAACAACTAATAATTTTTATCGCCACAGCATCAAATAAACAATATTATCGCATGGCGAAGCTTCCAGCTGCAGCACAACAAAACCTTTTTTCTTTTGTCTGTGTGAATATCACGTGTTATAAAGGGAGATAAGATAACTTTTGCAATAAAATTTCGCAATGTAGAATGAAATGAAAAAAATTAGAGCTAAATTTGAGTGACACAAACTAGTAGAAGCTCATCGATGCTCTTGAGAACTCTTGAAAACTAGCCCTGCATCAAGGCATGACCAGGCTGACAGCTTTCGGAAGTCATACACTCTGATCTGAAATGCCGGCAGGAATGTCAGCGCGGAAATCGCGCAAAATCCGTCTGATCCGCGGAAATTCCGGTGTCATTAAAGGATCTAGGCAGGATAAGTTTCCTCATTGGAGTTTCGCTCTTTCTGACCTCCATTCACTTTTTTGTGAAAGTTTGCTTTCTTCGGATCGCCTAAGGGTGGAAACAACAAAAAACTTGGTCCCTCATCAGCATCTTATTTCCTATCTTCTGTCTTATTTCCTAAAAATCCTCAGCGTTTCATGGCTGATTATATCTAAGGTTAAAAATGAGTGGGCCGGAACTTCGAATGCTTTTCAGAAATTTCTTTTGGTATGCGGAAGTTTCGGTGTGGCGGAAAATTTAATGTTTTCTGAAGAAATAGCGGAAACGATTGTGCTTTTGAAATTTGACTTTCAATGCTACTCTTTTGTTCATTTATCCATTCACTTTCCACTCCGAGAATTCGAGGATCACATAATGCGCTTGCTTTCATAAGCGTAATTTCCTTCCATTTTTGATCTTATAAATCACTGGGTTTTTTTTGCTTTCACAATTATGTAATCACAATGCCTTCTTTTTTCAAAACCTGGATGGCTTGGAAAGCTGTATGGAACTTCCGCGAAACTTAGGCAGGACAGCTTGCTCTGAGGAAGTTTCGGTGTCTTGCTTGAATAGATTTAGAGAGTGTCAATAGTTTACTATTCTGTTTGGAAGAATGGGAACTTCAAAATTTTAGCAGTTCTATACAGTGTGAAAAGCTGTTGGAAACTCTCGCAGTACTTCCGCAAAGGTCCGTCTGATCCGCGGAAGTTCCGCTTTCGTCAAAGAAGTGTAAGAAATATATCGAAGCTCCGTTTCAGACTCCCTTTTCCTCCTCTCGGCTTATCGCAATTCAGTAGAAGTTTCCGCAGAACTTTAGCTTTGCCCTGTGTTCATACCGCTTCGATGATTCCAAAAAACTTTCTGTTTATCTCCGTGCCATAGAAAACTCTTCGACGATGCCAAACATCAGTGACCGTGCAAAAAATCTTTCCAGAACTTCCGCATATTTGTGTAAACTTCTGATCTGCA